GTAAACTGACCGATTGATGTTTGAAAACTGATGTTCAGCCATGCCGTTCTTCATGCTGAAAGTGATGTCAAATGTGCGGCTGGCGGCCATGGCTCCACCAACACGCGACATGGTCACAGAGGCAATGTTGTCCATGCTGATGTATGTCGCAGGCTTAGGGATGAACATGAAGGCCTTGTCGAGGCAGAACAGATGACCCTCGTTGGCCTTGATGGAACACTTGACACCCGACTGCTCGTGGTGGCTGATGAAGTCGCGAGACGGCCTTGTGATGCGCTTCCCACTGAGTCCCCGGAAGATATCTGCCACAACTGTAGCAATCGGGGCTTCGTAGTGCGACTGAAGCTTGTCCTTGTACTTGTCCTCCAAGAGGTCCCCCTTCATGTTGAGGTCGAGATTAACTTCCTCGTCGCGCTTGAACTGCATCACGAGGAACGGGTAACGCGTTTGTCCCTGGCGAAGTGGAGGATCGAGACCGACGGTGATCAAAGTGTGCATGTCGTCGGGTTTTGGCAGAACCATGAACTTCTTGACCGAGTCGAACTGGATCTTGTAGTCGTATGTTTTACCGCGTAACCGGAAGGAGCTCTCGTACATGTCGATATCGAATCGACCTCTGCCAATGGGTTAGTACTTGCTCCGAAACTGCAGATACGAGTGTCATACCTGGGAGTGAGATGTAGAATGTCCAAGAAAGTGGCGAATGTGTCACCAGCGACCTCTCCAATCTCGGCCTTCTCCATCAGCGTCTCGTAGAACAGGTTGGCGGCGTTGGTCTCCTCAACGTCCTCGGCCCCGGAGGCGTCTTCGCCGTCCTCTGTCTTCTCCTTCTTCGACGCAGTACCGGGTATGTAGAAGCGCATCTCGACAAGCTGGTCGCGGGCGCCTGCCGACTTCTTGCCTCTGAACCTTGCGCCTCCCAGATTTCCGTTTGCGCCAGCGTCGCCATCGGCAGGCAACGAGAAGTCGACGGCGACTTCGTTCTTGCCTGCCAAGTTCGTGTTGGACACTTCGGTGTAGGGGACTTCGAAGGCGGGGCGGTTGGCTACGTTGAAGGTGAGTTCAGCCTTCCCAAAGTCGGCCTTTCCCCAGTTCCAGCCACGCAGCGCATGCTCCCGGTTGTCCAGCCCGATGCCGTACCAAGTCTTGAAGACTTTGGAGACGCGGTCGAAATCCTCCTGCTTGAAGCCATCGAGTTGTATCACGCCGTCGTTGCGCGAGAGAATCTTGACTTCGTATCCGCGTGATGCTCGGCTCCACTGCGCTTGCTGGATCTGTGACTGGTCGCAAGTGTAGGTTTCGCCGTTCGCGGGCTTCCAGCCAAAGCCGGAGTCGGAGAATCGAGTCGCGCCAGGCTTCCGCGAAAGGTTGAGGTAGATGTCGTTGAACGCCTCCCTGCGCTGTATTAGCTTCGCCTGTCAGGTCTGTCGCGGACTTTAGTTTCTTACATGTTTGCGGTCGCGTCAGAATATTATAATACTTGTGAAGCAAGACGACAACGATAATGGGGAGTGGGAGGCGCGACGGGGGGAAGTCGTTACCGGAAAGTTGGTGCTCTCACTTCGTAAACGCGCTGTTTGCTTACCTAAATGCGCTAGTGGCAGATCGCACGTGATAGCGCGATTTCCGTCGCGTCTTCTGCAACCAACTTCACCTGCGACCTCCATCTCCATGATGATGGCACCAACAGCAGAGAGTCATCATCAGTCGCTACAGTTTCTCGGATGACTGGCCAACGTCAAGGAAATACTACCGCCTCAACGACGCACCAGACACTCCAGGGAACAACATCAAAGCTATCGCACTCATACCGCATACCAAAGTACCATCTCAATGACCTGCCCGAAGGACCAGACCGCAGTCTGAGTCAAAGACTCACTCTATTCATTCTGAGCCTCTGTCCAAGCAGCTGCACCCAGGATTTTCGTCCCCCGCGCATGCCGTCATCTAACCAAGCATCTGTAAGCGATCACGACTATCAATTTGATTCGCGCATGGCTCTGACGGACCAGACTCCGCTCTGCAACAGAAATCAGTCTCCTTCAGCCTGAAGACACCATGCTGTCACTTCATAGTCTCATAGTTCGTATCGCAATCGTCTCTGGAGCTATCCTAGCCAGTCCTTTCCCATGCCCTTCTGCGAATCAGTCTATCCTATCAGTGTGATGAGGCTTGAGTCATCTGCAGCAAGGCTTCATATCATGAACTGGATGATCGACCTGTTCTGGACTGTTCACTAGTTGTGGCGATATGCCACGTCAGTTGCGGCTATGCCCTTACAGTACTTTACGGACCGCAGCTCATTTCGCCTCAAAGCTAATATCATCACATGTTTCTAGCCGCATCACCTTTATCCATGTCCAGCCAACACTCCACTTGTTTCGTCGCGCACAAGGAGTTTAACTTTAGGAAGGATGGATACTGTCTTGCCGGTGTACGCTCTGGTCATCAGTGTCCATTTTTCAAGGTCGCAGTCATTGAGTTTAAACTGACCACTGCGCTGGTACCTTCAATCACTTGTGTCAGCGTGAATATGCAATGTCATCACTTCGGCTTCGGAGCGCCTAAACGCCCTGTACACTAGCTCCTGAGCTGAGCTGTCTAGACTGAAGTTTGAAGCCTTCGTAAGTGACGCGTGCTGAACTCGGTCCGGCTGTACCTGACGCAACTCATCCCTATCTGGCCTTGAGGAGAACGAGGTTTCACTCGTTAAATTCATCAAGACGTTACAGATGCGTCGTTTCAATGATGCGACTTGGGTTCTGGTGGATGGATACATTGACTGTAATATTCCTAGGCGTACATGCACGCCACTAGAATGCACGAGATTAACCGGATCAACACACCCTTCGATCACCTACAATGCTCTTCCAGCCCCCACGGCTGTTATGGTCAAAGTGATGAACATTTGCCCGAGCATTTGCCCCAGATTAAGGTGTCGACGAACGACAGTAGCGTACGGCAGGAGTATACTCCGGGAGATGGTAAATGTCGCACGGGAACTCAAAATCTCGCATGTTCTGTAGCCGAAGGAACCAATTCTAGTGAGGTTACTAGGTGAAATGAGTCCACATTCTCGGAGTTGCATCCGGATGCTCTTTTATATGTTCCGCCTCGAAACGAATTCTGGTCACTTTCAGGAATCCTGAACCGAGGCTTCTCATCTCGTATCGGTCACTGCCTGGGCAGGTTTTGGGGAACGTACAAGTCATCGCGATCTATGTTCGTCATAGCTTTGAATCTGCTGTGCGAAAGTGATGGACACTCGGGAACGGTGTAATTGTTGTGAGCTTTCACCCAGGTACGTAGCGAGCTGGGTGAATTGCGAGCACTAAACAGCTGTAGGACGCTTCGTTAAGGGAATAGGCGCTTTCCTCGGATTCAATGCACACAAGTTCTCGAAGTCGCGATACCTCTCATTCGAGAGCGTCTCCTTGCGTATGAGTCGTGTGAAATGCGGAAGGTGCGGTTGGCTCATCGTCTCTGGGTCGCCTCTGGGTCATCACAGTACCATAGGACGGCGGCTGAACGCATCTAAAAACCAATGCAGAGCAAGGAAACATTTACGATGATGTTAATTGAAGCATCTAACAGAAAGCTTCCTATGACGCCATCTAGGTGCCTGTCTTACTCAGCATGCCCCTCCAGGTGAGCTCGGAGCTACCCCGCCATACCGGTACTTCGCTCAGCTCCTTCGACGCATCCGAACACCCCCATCATGACACCATGACGGATACGAGCGCACAACAGGCTGAAAGCCACTATTTTGCCAATGAGCCCCCGCCAAAAGATCTCAAAACGAACACGACCCTTGCGCGCGAATTCATCACGCGTCATGCCGACGAGGGCCGTCGCGTCGTGCTTGTCACTTCAGGTGGCACCACAGTGCCTCTAGAGCAGCAGACAGTCCGCTATATCGACAACTTCTCGGCCGGTACTCGGGGAGCCACAAGTGCTGAGTACTTCCTCCAAAATGGCTATGCCGTCATCTTCCTGCACCGACAGTTTTCGCTGTTGCCTTTCTCACGACACTACTCGCACAACACGCGCTCATTCCTGGACTACATGAAGGAGGAAAATGGACAGGTAGTGGTGGATGAACAGCACCAGGACCAGATGTTGCGCGTGTTGCGCCAGTACACGGAGGTCAAGCGAGAGAACAAGCTATTGATCCTGTCATACGTGACCATCACCGAGTACCTGTGGAATCTGCGCGAGGTTGCGCAACTCATGCGCCCACTTGGGCCGAAAGCCATGTTCTACTTGGCCGCCGCCGTGTCTGACTTCTTCGTACCCCAAGACCGCATGGTCGAACACAAGATACAGTCCAACGAAGAGTTCCACCAGGGCCCAGATGGCGCCCGTGGGGGCGATGTGAAGCCACCGGCTGCGCGCACTGAAGGAAAGAGTCTGATCATCGACCTCGAGCCGGTACCCAAGTTCCTCAAGCAGCTCGTTGATGGCTGGGCGCCCGATGCGATGATAGTGAGCTTCAAGCTGGAGACTGACCCTGCCCTGCTGGTCACCAAAGCCAAATACGCCCTGAACAAATACTCGCACCATCTTGTAATCGGGAATCTACTAGCCACTCGGAAATGGGAAGTCGTGTTCGTGTCTGTCTTCGATGACGAAAAATGGATACGCGTACCCACCAGCCGTAGAACGAAGAGCTTGTCAGGAATGCCATCACTTGTCGGGTTGGCCGATCCCTTGACCAAGAACGACGTCCAAGCAAGCGAATCACTTGCAACAGAGAAAGGGGTACCACAGGGCGAGCCTTCTCTGGAAATCGAATCTCTTATCATCCCCGAGATTGAGAAGATGCACACCAAGCTCATAGACAAGACCCCTGCATAGCAATCCCAGACATGATGAGCAAGCGTTGTTTGTACTTTGCCTTCTACGGCATGTGTTCCGACACGGGTCATTGGATCGCACGGCATCTTACACGTGTTCATCAGGCTTTCAATCTACACATTACATTGGTTTTACCGCATTGCTCACTCTAGGATGACCCTCCACTGTGCCGAAGTGTGGCGTATGCTGGCGCCCCAAATAACCAACAAGACAGCACCGATGCCGACTATACCAGCGAAGACCCCAGCCAGGGTACCGAAAGCTCGGACAAAACCCGCCTCTTCAGCCCAAGGGATTACACCGAAGAGGAAGCCAAATGCCACGATGTTCTTCAGCCCGTTCACAAGCAGCAGTACGTCCGAGTTGACTGGGAATGCGCAGTCGCTCACGTACGCTATAGTGATCGTTGGCATGGCTGTGAGCGCCATCGAGATCATGCCGTACCCGAAAAAGAGCGAAACCCACGACAAGGCGTTTTGAACACCATAGCCGAACACAAGGCAGCCTGCTGTTGTGATCACCAACGGAATGCATACCAGGTATAGTCGGGTTTCCGGCTCGTAGATTCCGAGCATTTTCCTTGTTCGCCACCTACACCACATGTCCACGAGGTCACCTGCATTCAGTCAGCACGTTTCCTGGCCGCGTGGTGCTCAATTGTGACTTACCTCCTGCCCAAGCCCCGATGACATTGCCCAAGAGGCCTGGGATATTGATCAGGCCGTTGATCTGTGGGCTCCAATTGTATGGAGGTGCTTGCAGCACGAACGGATTCAGAATGTTGACAGCGATAGTGATGACCAGGGATATGGAGTAGCAGAGAAACGCGTATATAACCGCGGGGTACACAATCATCGGCCACGGTCTGCTGGACGTTAGCATCGGCTTCCCCGCCCCGCTGAACAAATACATACCGTATAAACAGCTTCACCAGACTCGTCTCCGAGACGCCACTCCACAGGCTCAGCTCCTGCCTCCATGTGTTCTTTACCTCCTGGTGCAAGATACGATTGCTCGACTTTGGCCGGAGATGTTTCTCGTCTGCCATGACAATCTTGTCGTTCGAAGGGCAGATGGCCACACCAGCGCCTTTGATATGCTCACGCGTGTATCGAGTCTCAGGGACTAAGAGCAGTATCGTGAGGAAATTGAGTGCGGTCAAAATTGCAGCAATCCACTTGTGCCATCGCCAGCTGAGGTTGGTCGCAATGAAGCCGCAGACCAATGGTCCCACCGTATTGCCACCTGCTATCGCGTTCCTGGCGCACAGTCAGCGTACTGAAAAGGGCCTATAGGAAGGGGATATATGCTCACATATAGAGACCCATCTTGCTGCCTCGTTCATGCAAGAAGAACAGGTCCTGAGAAAATTCAGTCAGCTCGTCGGTCAAGATCGCTAAGCCCATTGCCCTTTGATTGGGTTTGGATATGAGCAAGTAGTACAGGATTACTCACGTTGACTATTGCAGCACCCAGAGCTTCTGTAGAAGACCCTGCGAACGCGGCGACAATGTTACTCCACAAAAGGCTCTTGAACGAATTGGCCATGGCGCCCCAGACGCAGCATGCGCACAGCAGGGCACTGGCGAATACGAAAACCGGTCGTTTCCCGAAATGATTGGCCATTGGTACCCAGAAGAAATTGAACACGCCCAGGACCAAGACGGGGTATAAAAGTAGATGCGCAGTCTCGTCCATCGGCTTATCAAACTCGAGCGAGAGAATATGGAACGCTGGCGCTAAGCCTGCGATCGAATAGTTGGTCAGGAAAGTGAAGGCGCACACCGAAGCGAATGCGACATGTTTCTTCCATCGTGGCCAGCGGAGAGGGTCGTTCGGGTCGGTTGGCGAGGGTTGTGGGAAGAGGACGATGTCTGCTGGTGCACTTTCACTATACCCAGCTGCGGGCGCCGAATTAGCTCCGCATTCAAACGGACAAAGACGAGCATCACCGTACCTTGTTGCAACACCACCGTACCATCAGTGCGATCCAGAGCCCTCAGGCTGGTGAATCGGAAGCCCATCATGATGTCAAGAGCCTTGAAACCAGCAGGAATCTCGACCTTGGGATCCTTTACTTCGGGTAGGAAACTGCCACTCAGAACCAGGACCAAGCAGGTGCGTCGCTATCGCTTTTAGTCTTGTCTTTCATGGGCGACATGGGGAGCACCCAGCGGAAGGTAAACATTGTTGACATGTGGTCGGACGCATGCTATGTAGGGCTTACGGAGTTCCGTGCAAGGCAAGATTACAGGTGCAGACTAGTCAACCAGGAAACTTTCCAAGGTTCTTACGCGCAGCAGGCGCCAGATTTGTTGATATACACATGCGGTCGTGTCTGCATGCTTGCTTATTTGGTTGGCTGAATGGAGATGGCTAATATGGGTATGGGGTCTGTCTGGTGCTGACATGCTGGACGTTCATGCAGTGCCGGGACATGCGGGGCCGGTCGAGATCCCGTGCCCACCATGATCGACGGCCAGACTCGATTCTGAAGGCCCTTCTCTACAAAAGAAACGTTCAAGTGCCATGGGAGATGCCGGGGTGAAAGGCAGTAGTGTATATTCGTGCTTCGACTGCCGACTGCCACGATCCTGTTGCGTGGATCAGTCGATGGCAATGTGAATGTCGATTATGGTGTCAACAACCAACTTTGGCAGCCGTGCCAGTCCTTGTCGTACACACGATCGGTGGTAATCACGACTTCGTGAGATTGCGTCGCCATGCGCTCATCTCTTTGCTTTGTCAACTTATGAGCGCCCTCAATCGCTGCGCCTGTCCCTCATGAGACGACCTTGGAACGACTCAAACATTCTCCATGCCCAGGTGTTATCGCGGATAGAGATTCCCCGAGATCTGAGCCAAGGCATCTCCACCACGCGACGAGAGGAGGCTTGCGTCATGTCGGAGACTTATCGATCATCTTAGTGACGCTCAAGAAGCCGTGCATCTTTGTTGTTGCGGCGCCATCCCGTCCCGTCTCGCTAATCGTCGCGCCAAGCCTACCAGCGTGAAGGCCGCGGGGGACTCGACCTTGGAACCACAACTTCAACTCTCCACCCAAGTCTCCCGACTAGCACACCACAGTGGATTGACTCGGCTTCTACCGTTCGCGTTATCAAATCACGTTGCTAAGGTGGTGGTCGCGCGGCCAGTGCTCAGACGCTCGACGATACGGATGGAAGCCGAGCTATGCTTCCCGAATGCAACGTTGGACACATCGTAGAACATGACACGGAGGGGCAGTTTAGATGGATCATATGGCGAGTGATCGATTTCAGTGTGAAAGGTTTCCTTCTCTGATGACGCTGACGTTCGTATCTATGGCTTTATCTGACGCGACAACTCGTTTTTCCTTACGCCACAACGTCTCGGATTGCGCACCCAGTCGTCATGAAGCTGTAAACGTATCTTCGTCATATCGTCCTCTGCAGATTGCGACACGAATCATGTGCGGTCTTTTCTTCTTCCCTCGAACAATGAAGGGTCTCAGAATGAACATGGAGTTACGTTTCAATGACGCCGTACGACAAGAACGAGATCCAATACAATACCCCACGGCCATGTCTACGACCGCACAAATGAGTCCAAGTGACACGACTTCTTTGCTAGCTGAATTGGGTGGATATACTGCATTTGTTCCGATTCCCCATGGCGTCCGTCAAGAGGATCAGCAGAGCCATCAACGCGCGCTGCAAAGCATACCGCATGCGCAGGCATATTTGCAGCGTTTTAGAGCGTTTCTCGACAGACGCCATCGCATGCTGACAAGACAGTGCTTCCTTGCACCTTTGCTTTTCGCCCATGAACCCTGCCCATCGGGTCCACGGTGACGCCTTGCGTTGCACGGCGTGGCGCCTATTGGACCAAGCACATATCGCATTCCCGCTAAACAGCCAAAGAGACGCGGAGATCTTACTGCTACTGCACGTTCATCGACCGAAGATCAATAGAGTACAGCGCTGTCGAATCCGCGGATGCGGCGCAACGTGACGCTTGATCCTAGCCTACACCAAAGTCTCTCTATCGGAGTGTATCCCCGCCACCGCCAAAGCATGGTGACTTGTTTGGATTAGACTTATAACCTGATAACCACCCTGTCTCACCGCTTGGCCCCGGTACCCTGGACTCGCACCAGTATATATCGTCTACGGACCCAGACTCTTACCAAAGTTTCTTCGCATCATAGGCCCAACACCTCCCTTTCCTCACGCTATCACTCCTCACCATTTCCAACACTGAAACATAGTCGCTATATGGCTACATCGACTGTGGCCAGACTCGCGCCCCAGAACTCTCCAGCCCTAGCAAGAAACCCATCACCTTTCATGGATCCCCGACCACCACTAGGAAATCCAGCGACGACTGCGGAGATGTGGGATAGGTACGAGAGGCAAGCTGTGGAGACGGCCAGAACGAGAGAGAGGACTATGCAGCCACCACAGCCCCACCGCATAGTGATTCCAATCAAGGACAAGAGGCATAGACCAAATGACGTTTCACCGACAATACCGAGCTTCGACTTCAGAAGACGTGGCCATACGACCACGGTCTCGACTACGTTGGCTACCTGCAAGTCCTGTACACTTCCCATCACCTATGTTTCTGGAGTTTGCGAAAGCTGTACAAGAACCATCATCTTGCCATCTTCCAGCGGCGAAACCACTCCGCCTATCAGTCCAGCCTCTCGGAACTTCGTCTCTACTGACCTCATTAAACTGCGCAAGAACTCATATGGGGAAGATGCCAACATCCGAACATCAACAACATCATCGCGACGAACGTCGTACTGTCCACTACCAGCGCACCTTGCAGACCCCTCATTCCGGCTGTCCACACTCCAGCCACCCCCCGAACTGGACGCCTTCTCAAACGACCCCATACGAAACAGAAGAAAGACATCTCTCACAGACCCCAACGAGCCATTCCTCCGTTTACAAATCGCGCAACAAGCACCATTACCCCGGTCTACCATGAACTCACCACCCATAACCCCTACATCGCCACCGCCATGGGCAACCCATTCTCGCTCTTCCACGCGACGATCCAGTCTAGCAAACGCGGCAATACTGCCAAAGCCCGCCTACCCACACGCGCGCACCGACAGTGTAGCTTTATCAGAATACAGCACCCTCTGCCCCATCCAAACCACACTAACAACGAAACTGGAAAACACAACCAGCGCCTGGGACGACTGGGACAGCGACAACGACGACGGGGATAGAGCGGGTCTCGCGAGCTGGATGGGCCGGCGCAAAACCAAGGGTCGCGGCAGCGGACCTAGAGAAGGCAAAGGCAGTATGGACAGCACCGAGAGCGACAATGACGCTACGAGGCCCAGTCTGTGTCTGAGAGAGACACCCAAGAAGGCAAAGAAGAGCATGAACATTAGTAAAGAAGATCAAGGTTTGGAGCGCGCCCGGATTGAAGCTGCGGAGAATGCGAGGGCAAGGCGGCGAGACGCGGAACAGAAGCTTGCGAAGAAGAAACCGAGTGGGTTTATCAGGGCGATTACTTGTGGGAAGAGCGATACAGATGGGTAAGTTTGTTTACGCGGTTACTGCTTTCCTTGCGTTTTGGTTTGAGCAGGGCGTTTATCATGGGCGATATTTTTAGGGATGATACCACGCAAAAAGGTTGGACTGGTGTTGAGGTATTGGGTTCTATGGTATACATATTTTACGACTATATAGGCGATTAAGCTAGATTAACTCATAACGTATAATATATTATTCAGACGAAGTTCATGTTCGTTCGTTGTGACATGCTTTGTTATTGCTTTCGCGGTTTCACTCAGCGATACATTACTTCTCCCAATAACAGCGCGGAAGTATCATCACAAACACATCCACCCCATTCATCCCAACAATCCCAAACCCATACTCGAAGCCAACACACACACCCTCCACCGCTAAACGCCCTCCTGCACATTCCCGCACCCGCATCCGCATACCTACCTACATACCTACCTTCCTATTCCCCTACCTGCTACCGAAGTCGCGCCCATCCAGCCGCGCGCTCCCGCGCACTCCACCCGGTAAGAGGTGAGAATGCGGGTAGGCGAGCGGTGACCCCATCGCTAGTCTTCACAGGGTCGTTGGCCGAAAAGCCCGCGTAGGGTGGTAGGGGTAAGCGAGGATGCTGTGGGAGGCGGTGATGTGGGCTGGGTACAACTGACGAGGCGGATGTGTTGAGGTGGGGTGGGGGGTTTAGAGGTCCGGTTGTATGGTGGAAGGTGGGTTGGGGCTATTTGGCAGTGGGGTGAACCAGATGGTGGAGTGGATTGCGATGAGCTGCTCATGACTGCTTAAGACATCATGATAGCCCTGCTACAGCATCGTCCACACTACCCATCACCATCATCATCAACCCCCTTCTACCAGCTCCCTAACACCACCTACCACCCTCCCACGCAATGTAAAACCCGTGTATCAACGTCGCACAATCGCCCGCCTCGACCGAGGTCGTGGACATCTGATCAAGCTGGTGGTATGTGAAATGCGGATGTCGTGGCTACGCTTTGTGCTGCAAAGCATTGGTGAGGTCACCATACTGAATTAGACGCTCCGTTGTGTAACGTGTTGCGGGGCTGAGCGGTTGTAGGCGAGCGTTACACGAAGGGGGCGGGTGGGCGGTCTGGGCTTCTGAGGTTTGGGGTTGTTTGTGCGTGCGTGCGCTGTGTAGGTTTGAGACCTGTGTGCTGTGTATGTGGGTAAGAGTGCGCGCGGTATTTGAGTGGTTAGTTGTAAGTTGGCGCTGAGGTAAATGATGGTTTCGCGCAAGACGATAGATAGCTGGACAGGCTGCGATATCGCAACTTCGAGATCGCAGTATGCGCTCGCGCATCACAAGTGGCGGTGTGGAGGCACGATAGGCGTTGGCCACGTCTAACAACTCGTCGCACAGTGGCGGACGCACCTACAATCGCTTTGAGCTTGTCGGTGCACATGTCAGCTGCCAGTTAGCAGGGCGAAGATGTCAGTTGTTTCGGATATACCGCCTTGACCTTGGCTTCTAGGACTTTTGA